ATAATGATCATTTCCAGTCACTCTCTTGAATCCATTCGTTTTCAAACAGCGACCGAAATCGTCTTTTCAGTCTATATTGTTTCACTTTCTTCCTTCTTTCCCGACAGTTTGGAAATAGCGTGGGAAAGAACAAATTCAGAGGGAAATCGCTTCCCACCTATGTCTACCCTCCAAGTCTGAAAGCTGCAGTGAGAGAAGCCATAGGTGGGGAGCTCGGCGACTACCCAGATCCCCAAGGATCAGCGGTAAGTTACAGTCCTTTGTTTATGATCTAGTACGGTTACAAGTCTTTTGAACGTTTGTGTGTGATAAGATGAGCACTTTTCTGTGATTGAAATTAATAGAAACGACGTTCTTTTTTTTTTTAACCAGGTGTATCATGTCACGTTGAGAGATCTGCAAGAGGCAAAATGGCCAGGAGCCAAACCAAAGTAATTTACTGAATATATTTTTCTGCAGTTATCTCCAACAAATTATCAACATATGACTTGTAATAATTATAAATCAATATTTGTAAGCAACACTTTTTCACTTCCAAGATAATTTTTGAAGATATTCTTGATTTTTGGTCAATCCAGAACATACTAATAAAAATAATAATAGTCATAATAAGAAGAAACTAATCAGAAAGTTTGTTTTAATAAAAACCCTTTTTGGCAAAATCCATATTGGTATTGACACTTTCCATATGTTGTAAGTGAAAAGTTTTGGAAGTGAAAAAGAAAACAGAATCTGTACGGGAAACAGCGAGATGTAAATTCCAGAGAATGAAATATTAAATTATGTTTTTGTTAAAAAAAATGTGTCTCACTTCATTCCTTTCCTTTTTCTACAAAATACACAAAACCCTCTAAGTACAGCAGGACAGAAAAAACGTGTAGATCATGACACACTATTATAATAATAATTATGATTATCTGGGGCCGGTTCCTGAAAGGTGGAATAACTCTATTCCAGGGATAAAACTGTCTCATTCAAGTCAAAACGTTATCCTGGGATAAAGTTTTGATTGGAATAAGGCAGACTTACCCCTGGAATAGAGTTATTCCACCTTTCAGGAACCGGCCCTTGGAAAATATATATATATATTAAAGATAGAAAAGAAAATGTGTAAAGTGGAAGGTTGAGTCCTTTATTTCATCTTATTTCCACAAACTTTAAAGACTTTCCTGTTCATATAAAAGGGAAACCTCCTTGACTTTTTCACCTAAAATAGTGGCATCTAAGACCATGGGTACCACCATTTATGTGGGAAAACCAAAAATTCTTCTTATGAAATCAAATGGTTTGCAGCATTCTGTTTGGGAAGTTTCAACAAACATCGAATGTGATATGAGGCAAAGCAACCATTTTAGTCCATTTCCACGGTTCCGCTTATTTGGATATACTTTGCAGACTAGTGGTAATTTATTCCACCATGTTAGATGTTATAGTTAAATGTTTACACACAAGATTTCCAACCGAGTGGTTTGTGTAAATGGTAAGTACCTCATATCTCAGTTAATTTGTTCCTTAGATCACAGAACAACAACTTTTCTTTCAAGGATGAAAGGGCCTTTTAGACAAATCCTCCTCACTTGAATGAAAGGAAACGTATGGAGAACATAATTTATCCTGACACTACTATTTTTAAAGAGAAGTTTTGATGTTGTAGAGGATGTGATTACCGAATGACATCATGAAAATATGGAAAACATGACAGATAAAAAATCAAGAAAGCCAACCTTATTCTAAAGATAACTCTGCAAAAAAAAAGGAAGAAAAAAAAAACCTGCATGGCATAGTCCAGAAATTGGAACTATGAACTTGAGCATTGAATACTCTGACTACTATTGAAAACCTGTTATTAAGAAAATGACCTATTGTTTCCGAGTATGCAATAGATATAAACTAATTTTTATTCAAACAGCTTTTATGGGCTCAGAAGGCATTAGAACAATATAATGTACACAAACTCTCTCTGTCGATAGGAACTATGCTCTCTTATTGTAAGGACAGTCTTTATGGCTCTTTCGAAGATGTGTCTTGCTGCCACACCAATTACACGACTTTCCTCCAACTGTTACATTAGCTCCTTCAGGTGCAGGAACTGGTGCTAACACAGGAGAACGTCTTGCGCTTCCATTAGCGATCGCTCTTTCCGTTATCATCAAGGCATCATCTTCATTGTACCCCTCTTCCTCGTCTTCATCCTCCCCATATGTGTGTCTTATTTGGCAGTTCTTGATATATTTTTTTCTAAAAAATAACATCCACAAATAGTTGGTCAAAAGCTATTGGGTACAAGCTGTTTACAAATCTCTACTCAGATAAGACAATTTGATCCTTTCACCAAAAAGGTCACCTACTCAGCAGTTAAACCAATCTTACACTGAAGTGTCAGGGTGTATATCAATATTTTGTACAAAGGGGTAAATAAAATTATTTCAAGGTTTATTTGGCAAGATAAAGATTGGAATAACGAAGCATGTACTATACAAACCTTTAGGGTTGAATCAATAATAATTTAAATTTTCTGATACATGAAGCCATGCCTAATTTTAATATATTTTTTTTGCAAATGTCTTTACCTTAGTGTTTGCTCTTCAGTCCTGTTAATTTTTGATTGAACCCGTTTCTTCTTTCCCTCTTCAGTCCTTTTCCTCTCTAAACGTTTCATGCGATCTTCATTGTCATTCTTACACTGAAAACATATTCCAAATAGGTAACATTAAATTGAAGGTCATCTTTTTGGCTAGCAGGTAGTAGTGTTTCATGAATGTATTAGAGAGAAGGTATATTTACGTGTAGGATCATAAGGGTTCACTCCGTAAAATGGACGAAACCAGTTGCTTCCCGGCTCCTACTTGGTGTAGAAGACACACATGGCATAACAAAGGCTTTAGGAGTCTTCAGGGCTTTCAAAGTGTAAGTAGGTATTGTTTCATGATTTTTGTTATATTGTTTTACGTCATCTGTGTCTTCTACACGAAGGAAGAGCCTGCTTTCCTGACCAGTTGAAAAAAAAAAAAGGAAAATAATAAAAACCAAGAGAAAAATCAACAAGCATCAACAATTTGGGATAAATCAAGTTTCAGTCTGTCCCTGAATGAGGAAATATACCGGTACTCATCAATGGAGTGAAACCGACAGAGATTTTTTACTGTAAATGTGAAAAGAAAAAAAACCATACCATTTCTTGGATACCATCAAGGAGTGGCAGGCCCAGTCTGGAATATAGATCTTCAATCCAGTGGTATTCTGGGCCCTTCTTCTTATAGCACCATGTCATATTTGCCTGTATTAGGCCCAAATTTGTTGATGCTGCATAGTGCTTTTGATGCAGATTTACATCCTTAGCCCTGAACTTAGTAAGGACACTAAATGTTGCTTCTGGAAGGTTTGAATGGCCCTTTCCCAACCCAGGATCAATAACTTTTTCTGCATCAGCAGCCCTTCCAGAACATTCTATTTCATAACAAAGAGCATGAAACTCACACTTTAAAACATGGAATGAATGGTATGGTTCCCCAGGGCATTTTAATTCTTGGCAAAATCCCTCTTCATCGACTTGACATTCCTTACAACTACATTTTTTTAAGGGATGAAATTTACAATAACCACCCTCCCATTCATGTATGTCTCGGGAATGGTATTTTCCCAAGCATAGCATTGTCTCCCTGTATTTACCAGGGTCCCGTCCAGCCTGGACTAGTGCACAGTAATGGTTGCGCTTTGCATTCTGTATAAATGCTGGACTGATACAACCACATACAGGCTTGTTTCTTTTTGCGACATACGTATGCTTTTTTCCAGAACAACAGCATTTTAACTTTTCCATTTGAGGGAAATCCTTCTTGTGGCTGTCAACAAATGCCTTACTGAAACAGCTTTTTGTTTGAAGTTCAGCAAGCTTTTTACCATGAGCCCTCCCCACATGTCCCCCACACAGCATAATTCTCGAATCCTGCTCATTTTCAAATGAGTACCTAAATCCCTTTGCTGATGAAGAATCAGCATCCTGCCAATTTACTTCTACTTCAAAACCCTCATCCTTTGCCTTTGCCCACAAAACCTGTGCTAAATGTCCCTCCCCAGCTTTTGATGTACCTTGCCACAACTCTTCATTACAAATTTGATCTGCCCCTCTCATTGATAAATGCCCATAATACAGAAGACCCCCTGTCAAGTAGTTCTTTATGATGAAGGTGCAATTTTGGCTGAAATGACCCCTAATCTGCCAACACCCATCACATGTTGTGACCCCCCGAGACCAACTCCCCAACTGGTCATTTGGAAGGGCTTTCATGTAATTCTTTTCGTCTTCACACATCTCATCAAGGATGTCCCTGATATGAGGAAAAGCAAGATCAATTGCCTCTAAAAATGGCTTGTCTGACAAAACACCCAGACCCAAACCTTTACCCAGGGTTTTTCTATAAGAAGCATAACCATGCCCACTAATAAAAAAAGCTAAGGACAGGGCTAAGGACACCACGTGACGCCGTGAATCTAGGGCCAGCTGGCTGCTCTGATAATCAATTGTTTCCTGCCAGCAGCCATCACAACGAAACAGGAACTTCATTGCACCACCAAGTCCTTTTTTTTCACTGCCCACAAGGACCAATTTTCCTGAGGAAAAATTGTAAAGCGAGAAAGTTGTTCTGAATATATGGTTTAACCACAGAGATAGTGATACACCCCCATAAAAATCGGATAATATAATATCCTAGAAATATGGACCGCCTTTGAAACTTTACACGAAATTCTAAATTCAAGTGCTTCGCGTCGATAATTTGCTTTGAAGGTACAGCGTTTCAGCGTAACAAAAAAATAGCTGAAGTTTAGTTTATGAAAAGATTTCTCATAAAAAAAATCAAGATCTTTTGCTAAGTTATGATTATTCAAAATGCTTTGACAGATGTTCACAAGCAAAATTTAGTCGTCTTCCAATAATTTCTCTTCAATTGACTGCGAGACCAAGTGAATCATGCTACAAGTATATTTCACGAGCATTGCACGTTCGTAAGGCATTTACAACACTGTCTTGATCACTAAAGGCAAAATTAAGCAGAAATCGCAAATTCAAATCAACGACTGAACAAGCGAATGGAAATGGAGCACTCACCTTGACAGGTTCGGTTATTGGATGGACAACAAAAATATCGATTGAAGTCGTGAACAAAGGAAACTATGCTCGATGTCATTCCCACAAACAGACCTTCTTGAATGAATATCCTGCAAGGGAAATGCACTATAATGAGGAACAAATAAAGTAAAGAGAAGGAAGAAAAGTGAATCTATTGACGAACACAAAGCTAAGCTTATGAAGTTAGAAGCTTATTCGAACAATAAAACTTTATCATCATGTAAGAACACACTTACCCTTTACCGCAGGCTGTCTTTGCCGACTTAGCAGCGGGAGGCTGAAAATCTGGGTCTTCATCAGCTTTTCTTGGTTCTTTGTTCTTCCTTGTTCCTGGTTCTTCATCAGTTTCTGGAACACTGACAGCTACCTGACTAAATTGTCTAGAATCTCGTAGGTGCTTTTCAACATCTTTCGCCGACTTGAAAGTTTTCCCATCTGGCGATTTGTATTTTAAGTGCACTTTCGAAACTGTGCTACTAGACGATGCACTTTCTCTTCTTTTTACTTCCCAGCCAAGCGAACGTAACTTATCTAGATCGAAAGAAATCCGCGAACCTTCTCCTAGACCTCTACTTTCATGTTGTTTCTCCATTGTCCGCGACATGCAGCTCAGCGTGAGCGCCAACGTGTATCCGACACCACATAATAGGTGCCGTTGCTAGGTAAAGGTGACAATGTTTACAGGCTTCGTTCTGATTGGTTTCGCGGGAAAAATTGCATAACAAAGAACGCTTTGTTAGACTTTATATGAAGCTTCTTTTGCGTTTTACCGCTGTATCCAAGTATTATTGACTTACACAAGATGGCGACCAAAGCGAGTGAACTCGACTTTCGCTTTTCTGATGAATTCTTCCAAAGATATTCAATATTTTCGCTTAAAAATCGGTACTGCAACGACAAGTCTTGCTACTGAAAAAGCAATATCTCCACCAAGATTTATTCTGTAGATAAGAAACTTGGCAAACCAAAACTACATACGATGAGGAAATTTTACAGCGCAGTGCGCTTTGGTCCGCCGCAAATTGTGCCTGTGAGGAAGTTTGGGATGAAGGTATCAATTTTTTTTCAAGTTTTAGCCTTAAAATTGTCAAAATAAATCATATTGTGGCGCACTGCGCTGAAAAACTTTGTTATCTTCATATCTATAAATGTGCCACTCCACTGTAAAAAATATACATTTGGTTAGAGTGTAGCGTAGGTTAGCTCAAAAATAGTAACGCAGACCACACCCTAAAATTCTTCACATTCCACGAATTCCACGAAACTTACCAAGATAAAAATATTTTTTTTCTTTTTTATGCATAATGATTTATCACACCGTAAAATTTTAAGACAGTCTGCCAAATCCTTCATCCAATTTTGTATTCACAAACTTGAGGTAAAAAGGTCCAAATTAGCCTCCGGTACCACCTTAAACATAATCCCTTTAAACTTTAACTGTATCAATGCTCATAGTCACGCAATCATTACGGTTTTTTGACGAAACAAGAACACAATTGACGAATGGAATATGGCAGCCATCTGAAAGCGATGTACATGATGTGCACTTGCAGTAGAGCCAAGATTCTACTGCACGAACACTACGGCGATTTCTTTGCGAAAAGCGCGTTGTTGACTTTGTTGAGCCATTCTTGAAAAATAAAGAATGAGAAGCAGTGAAGCAACCTTGTTCCAAGGGCTCTCTCTCTCTCTTCATTCGTGAAAGAACCTTAGTTGCGGCTGGCCACGTAGAAATGTGTGTCAATAAATTGCGTAGCGGGGATAGGTCCTCCACTAAATTTTGTCGACTAGACAATGAAATACTATCTGGGGTAGGGAGAAAATTCATACTTCAAAATGGCGCTTGAGGTTCTGAGATGCGTGCAAACTGTTTTGCTTTCGCTCGGGTGACATTCTTGTAGTTTGATAGCCTTCTATCAAATTGTCTGCATAAAAGCTTTGAAAAAGTTTCAAGTTCGGGTAGCGGGCTGCCACAAATTTCTTCCGCCGCGAAGAGAAAAAATAAATTCCGTTCCTGGAAAATATTTCTGCAGAGTTTCCGGTCCACGACAATTTGACACAGGCTACATGAGGAGCTTGCATTATGCAATAATATTTTTGTTGGGTGTTGTTGACATTTTCAAATAGCAACAACGACGGCAAATTAAACGAGAACGGCAGAAAAGTAAGAGGGTTAGCTTGGCAAAACAACAACTCTACGAGTGCATCACGCTTTTTTGTACATTGCTTTGCCGTTACGGCACGACTACGACGTGACTGACTGCCTAATTTCACCTGGAGGACGATGTAAACACAAGCAGACAAGACAACGAATTTCTTTTTCTTTCCCTGAACTTCGATGCAGTCTTTGAGAATTCAACTCCAGCAAAAATTGCCAACATCTTACGAATTGATTGAGATGGAATAAGCGCGATAAAGTTTGAAGCAGCGCGACTTTACTTTTTATGTGGCGTTGTCGTAGCCGTCGCCGTCCGTTTGTTGCCTAAGCTCCCTAATGAACGAGGCGGCAAACTCCTCTCGGGCCTCGACAGAGTAACTTTTGTCATAGGGTCATTATTTACCCTTCTTCCCCTCCCTTAGTTTTGGCCGCCAGATTTTGGAAGTCACGTGACCAGCCGCAACCCAGGGTTCTTTCTCGAAGCAAGAGAGAACAACGTTGGCCCTGGGAACAACGTTGGCAGTGAAGATGTTGCTTGCTTTTTATTTTTGTCGGGGGACGTTGCGGGGCAGGCGCTGTTAAGTACTCGTAAAAAATGAAGTACGTGTCAAGCATCTCTTTCAGGGTTAAAACCCTTTGGGCCAAATATTTAAACGAAGTCTAACTTAAGCCGCGGTTTAACGAACCTTTGAACCTCCCCGATCTCTTCTTTGGTGGGTTATTTTAAGAAGATAAAAATATGCTTTTCTTGTCTTCTCTATATGCTTTCATAAAACTGTTCACAATGAATGATGTTTACATAAAATCGTTCGGGAAATTGAAAATGACTTAAAACGCGGTTTTGTTAAACACTGGCTAAACTACGTTTAAATATTTGGCCCTTTGTGTTAAAAATGACGAAAAAGTAAGTACTTGTTTGTGATATGCCTAAATGATTATACCGCGAAAGATGATTGACAACTTGTACTTCAAGAAATGTACTTTGTCAACAAGCGTGAAGCCTTACAGTAAGCCATGTTTTCTACAGAGTGACTTAAGATTTTCAAGTGCACTTGAATCAAGTGCTTACTTGAAACTAACTCAGCTTCTAGTGTGTAGCCAACAATTGATATTGGAACATTTATCAGTAGTCGTTAAAAGACTAAATCAAGTAGGACAGAAATATTGGCCATGGGCGGTTTATAAATGTAAATTAGAGATATGAACACAATATATTACACAAAATTTCCATATTAAAGCTCTCGGCCTTGCAGCAAATTGCAATTATAGAGTGTTTTCACATGACGTCACGGCGGCCATATTGGTGTCCCAAAACAATGAAACGGCGGCCATGTTGGTGTCCCAAACCAATCCTCTGGGAGTTGAACACTTTTCTTATGCAAACGCTTTCTTTTGTTTCAATAAATTTGCATAGATGCTGGCCACGTGAGTGAAAACACTCTATAGATATTTCTAGTGTCACGAATGTCACTACCTATGAAAATCATTTTAAGAAGAAGATATAATACTGCAGCTCTAAAAAGTGTGAATATATATATATTTTTTTTTTTTGAGTGGTAAGTAATATTTTACCCAGCAATATTTTTGGCCTGATGAAAATTCAGAGTTTATCGTCGGGCGGCCGTGTATCAAGATATACTCTATTTCTTTTCTCTCGTCTGAGCTTCTTTTTGTTGTTCATAGCGCATCATAATCTAATAAAAAGAGAGTTTTTTCGTTGCCGTAAAGAAACTGAAGGATCTAAAGCGAAAATACATGAAATGAAAAATACATGAAGTGAAAAATAACGTTATGTGACTATGTCACGTGATTTCTGAGAAAACTATTTTAAATTTGATTCTCTTCCGAGAAAACATTGCAACCAAACGAGTGACCAAATTTGGATCGCAGATATATATTCTGATATATTCGTCTCATAAGTTAAATCAAATGTAGAAACAGACCAGTTGGAGTTTTTTTCGACAATTGAGGGAAGGAAAGTCGTAGTAAACCGGGTTGATGGCGTTAGATTATGTGTTAATTACCATAACTTTTATTTTCCTACCTTTACTGACAATGTTTCTGCGATATGTGAGGAAAATGATCTTTGGTAAGAGAGTGGTTGGTCCACCCGGAAACTTGCTACTGGTGGCAAATAGCAAACCTGCAGGAGAGCTAAAGATCCCTCAAAGTGTGAACTATCATTTCACAAGACAATGCAACTATAAATGCGGCTTCTGCTTCCACACTGCAAGAACATCCTTTGTTTTGCCCATGAAAGAGGCTAAAAGAGGCTTGGAGATGCTGAAAATGGCAGGTAAATTACAACGAAGTGAGGTTTATGTTAGTTTTAGATAATATATATACTGGCAATTGTTAATATGTTCTATCAGTGATATTATCTGAGATTTTATTTCCTCTCTTCACTGCTGCCGATTATTTGAACATGACGGTGTCCAACAAGGAAGCTCTTGCTACGTTGGACTCTGTACACAAATGAACTTAATGTCTTTTAGTTGATTATTATTTATCAGCTACTTTATTTTCCTACCTACGTACACTTGTGTAAATATCTTATATAGTGTGAAATAAAGAATTGAATTGAATTGAATGGAATATGCAAGCAGATCACTATTATAGCGATCTGCTTGCCGGTCGAGTGGATAAGAATAAAATAACAATACGTTATTGAACGAGGCTGAGTAGGATGTTAAGAATTTTCCAGATATATCCACTTCGGCCGAACGATCTGCATAATTCTTCAGATTCTTCACATCCTACTCAGCCTCATGCAATAATTGTTTTATCATTCATTCAAAACATTTCTAAGTTCTTAACAATGATAAATAGATGTTTTTGCACATTTCACTCCTATCCGATTATTTTTCCCGCTTACGTACGGAGGCTTTGTTTGCTTCTCAGCCCTTGGGCCGGGCCGAGTTTTCAGGTCCGACCGGCCGTGTGTCGCGAGAAAACGTTATATGAATAAAAATATCTTTAATGAAAACAAAAAAAATAACTTAACCACTGATTTACCTTTCTTCTAAGATCTTCAAATATGTAGAAACTGAACAGACAGGTGTCAATATTGCTGGTTTGCACGTGACGTCACGGCGGCCATGTTGGTGGTTAAATGCACATTTCACTCCTATCCGATAATTTTTCCAGCTTACGTATTTTCATCATTTTCAATATGTTGATGTTGCAACCGTCGTTCTATACTGACCACGTTAAGGAGCATTTATCTTTTCTTTCAAAATCTCTTTTCAAAATCATGAGCAACTTAGTTCTAGAGTTTTATTTTGGTCAAGTTAAATTCCAGAGACAAATGAACCGCCAGTCTGAGGTACAATTTTTTCTCTGCGTACACTCCGCTTGAACCCTCATCCTTCCAACTTATTTTGCATATAAATCATACCAACAGGAGTCAAAACGGAGCCCATAACAAAAGCAGC